CGTATCACTTCGATGAGCATATTTTATTGATGATGACAACGTTATTTGCTGGATTCCACTAACTTACTCAGTGGGTGTTTCAAGGTGATTGGTGCGGTCGCACTCCATTGGTAGTTTTAGTGGTGCTTAAAGTTTAATTTGGCTTTAATCAGTAATGTTGACCTAAACATTGGATAGGGGTTTAGCTTGTTTAGGACGGCATATACAGTATGATTCAGGTCAGAGAGATAAGGTTGTTCAGAGGTCCATTTTCTAGCTCATCATCAGTAAGCTCTCATTTTATTGCCCATATATGGATGATACCTTCATTCTTTGTGATAATGGTTCTGATAGGAGTACAATAATCACTGAATTCATTGAAGTAAATTTGTCTATGAAATTCACATGTGAAGAGGAATTTAAAGACAGAATTGCCTTCCCGGATGTTCTACTTACAAGAAAACCAGATAGTAGCATAAAAAGAAATTTGCATAGAAAAAGTACTTGGACAGGACAATATACACATTTTCACAGCTTCGTTCCTTTCAAGTACAAAAGAAATTTAGTGAAGACCCTCAGCCACAGGGTTACAGCTATGTGCTCAGAAGAAGTAATTGAAGATGAATTAAGCATTGTATATGATACTTTGATTGAAAATGGCTATCCCGACAAATATACCAAGAAACACATGAGAAAGAAAGCGAAAAAGGACTACTCACTGTCTGTAAACAAGAAGCTTTTATATATACGACTACAATTCAAGGGAGATATACCAAGTGAGATAATTACGAGGAAATTAAGAAAATCAGTTCAAAGAACTTTTAATGCTGGTGAACTACATGTATTATTCTCTACACAACCGATGGTGCTACCTCGACTGAAAGATGAAGTACCTAGACTAGCTAGCCACTTCAAATTGTATCTACCAATTCAACTGCGCTTGTGCTGGAGCGAGTTATATTGGCCGTTGCTCTACGAACTTGATTTTTCGTGCTCGAGAACATATCCCACTATGGCTAAGTAAAGGTGTAGTTAAAACTATTAACAGCTCGATATTGAACCATCTGGTGCAAACCGGTCACAAAGCCAGCGTGGAAGAATCCTTCTCTATAATATACCGGGTACCTAATAAATTTTTATTTATTTTTATTTTATTTTATTATAGCTTGATTCCACACCGTATTTTTGGTACAAGTATGAAAGTTTCAGCATGCGATATCGGTAGCCCAAATTTAGTAGGCCGACCATTGATATCAGGTGTGCGTCGACGGGGGATCGAACCTCGGACCATGTGCATGGTCGGCGAGAGTCCTAACCGCTGTGCCACCAAAATCATCGAAGCACTGCATACTCCAAACAGCAGAGTCTATTGCAATTCGCCTCAAACAACCAGTGCTCTGTGTTCAAGAGAAGGAAGTCCAGCCCCTTCTACTGCCCTGGCCTTCAGTAGAGACTATAAATTCATGAATTTGTAATATTATCTTTCCCAATTTGCCTTTCTGACATTCAGCTTATTTTATTTTATGTTGATGCTTTTGAGCTGTAATCTATCAATATTATTGATTCGATGTTATTTAAACAGCATTAATGTTGTTCATAACACTAATTCATTCATTCATTCATTCACTATAATGTATATATAACTGTAGAGCCTGATGATGAATTTATCGAAAAGAGTGTTCTTTGTTCAGTATCCATTCTTTTGAAAAAAATTCTTAATGGGCATTTTTAATGAGTTAATCGTGTTTGTTTGTGTATTTATTTTATTATCCTTGTATATATGTAAATATGCCATAGATTAAACATTGTGTTTTTTGCATGTTTATACCTGTTCAGTATGTTTCTGTTTTTGTTTCAACGATAAGTAATTGTATCTATTGTCGATACACTAGTGAAATATTCTTTTACTATGAAAAACAATAATGATTTAAGACAAGATATGTGTACTTTGATTGGACATGAGATACCAACTACTGTCATACGTCTAGTCTTTTGTTTTGGTGCAGACTGAATTCTATCAGAACAAAAATAGGTGGAGAGGACAATTGTTGAAATGATTGCTGGATGGTGACTATCAACGGAATCTAGGATCACATGCATTTCGTCCTGTTTGGGACTACTCGTCCACTGGGTGTACTTGTATCCTCCAATGGGTGATGGTGTTCTCACTAGGGCTCGAGCCCACTAGTCATACTTTCAAACGCCAGAGGGTTATCCACTAGACCACTTGGGCCACAACAGCCACCTCTTGTGCAACGGTTCGTTTTAATTATTTAATTCAATTTTAGATCTTCGCGTCGATTGATTGGACCGAAGTGCTCGGTCTCAGGTTGACATATCTGTCGGATTCTTGTGCCGATCCACTGCTGGTCACTGCCCACTAATTAACTTATAATTACATGCCCAGACATCGTCGAAGCATCTATACTATGAGGTGACATGTCAACCTGAGACGGAACACTTTGGTTCAATCAATCGATGGGAAAATCTAAAATTGAATTAAACTGTTGAATTAGTTGTGTTCTCTGAGCTGGCTGGTTTAATTGGGAAGCTCTAATCGTCCTTTTAGACAACATCCCCCTTCAGTACAGGCTTCAGTATAAAATGAAGTCATTTAAATCCACCGTGAATGATGATATAATTGTATCTCCTGGCAGACAATCTTTGTTGCGATTGGTTGTTAACTGCCGTCTCTATTGATTATTTTTATTGATTTGGAATTTGAACTTTCTTGTCAAGTGATTTATACTTTATTAGCTGGTAAATTTGGTCTATAATAATTTGTCTGTTGATTGCTAATTCACTTGAGTAGGGGCTCGTAGGAATCCCCTGACTGCATTTCTGGTGTTTGCTCTATTTAAAATTTCTACATTATCCCAATCAAATTGATGTCCATAATTATCTACATGCATAGAAATAAAAGAGTGTATATCATGTCTTTTCACAGCTAATTTGTGTTCTTAGATTCGGATTCGAGGAGGACGCCCACTCTGACCGATGCAATGTTTACTGCAGCTCATGCATGCAGTTTATTTTGCAAGTGGTATTAATTTTATCTTCTTTCCCTGTTGGATCTTTAGGTCTGTACAATACTGAATGAAGTGATTGTGCTGGCCGGCTGGCTTGTGTGCTATATCTATTTCAGACGGTCTTAATATACTACCTGTTATTTCAGAGATATTTTTTTATATATGGTAGGATGAATTTCCTTGTGGTCTTTGATGTTGACTTTTTGTTGGTGTTATGTCTCAGGTTTAAACACTTTTTGATGAAACTGTGAGGATATTCATTCTTTTTGAAGACGGTTAGCAGAGAATTCCTAGAAGCGTGGCACTCAAGTGAATTAGCAATTAACAAATACATTACTACTATAGACCAAATTTACTAGCTAATAAAAAGTAAATCACATGACAGTAATGTTCGAATTCTAAGTCAATGAAAAAATGGTCAATAGAGATGTAAATTAGCAACCAGTGACGACACTGGTTGCCAAGGGATACAATTACATCATTCATGGTGGATTTATATGAGTTCACTTCATACTGAAACCTGAGGTGAAGGGGGGGTTATGTTTAGAAGAGGGACGACAATGGAAGTGTCACAATTAAATCAACCAGCTCAGAGAACATAGTAGATTCAATGTCATCCACCTCAGCTGCAAATCTTCTCCATTATTTCAGCGAACAATTGTTTTCAATAAATTCCTCTCCAGACTCTGCAATTATAAATCCATTAATTTTCAGCATACATTAACTAGTTAGGACAAATTGGAATGTATACAGAATTATATCAGACCCATTACGACTTCATGACTTTTTTTGTTATTTCTATTACCTTAGGTTTACGTAATGCTTCTTCTAACTCGTCATTATATCAACACAATCCTGCTCATTTCACTCCACTAAATTTATTATTACTAATGGTACTTTTAAGCTTACAGCACACCGTCATTATTATTGTTATTTGTCACCCATGAACTTACGTCTAGTGTATCCTAATTGTTGGTTTATTTTTCTGTAGTGTTCATACTGTTTCACACTTCACTGATAATTACACTCATCCTTGAAACCTGTACTTCTGTTGACTATGTATATGTAAACACACATATCACTGCATTATTTCGTCTCATTTTATCTCATTTCCTCATTGTCCATGCATAATAAAAAAAACTAACTGACTATTGTTCCATCCCGTCGTATACTTGTTCCACAGTGCATCTTCTGATATAATTCTGATTTGTCTTTGCTAGCTAATGTATGCTGAAAATTAATGGATTTATGGTTGTAGGGCCTGAAGAAGAATTTATTGAAAACAGTTGTTCGCTTTAACGAAATTAGTTCCGAATTCTACCGGTCAAGTTTACAATGTGACGAGCACGCCAAGTGGCTCACCGTCACAGTACACTCTGAACTGCTGTTGTTGAACTGCTGTTAGACCTAGGTTTAATGCTTGTTAGAACTTGCCGGTCAACAAGGTGTATCTGGAGTCGTGAAGGAAGTTGTGTCTCTTCTGAGATTTGAACCCAATGGTGCAGTCAGAGATGTTATTACTGAGCTATTTGGGCTCGCCATTGACTTTTTGTAGGTGACCTGAGTTTGAATCTGAGAAGAAGTATGAGTCACTTAAAGATTGTAGATACGCCTTACTGACTGGTGAGTGCCAATAAGGATAAATAAAACTTAAGTCTGTGTTTTCCTTCAACTAACAGCATGACACCTGTGTTAAAAATATAACTAATCTCAGACTTTAAGTCGACAATATTAACTGTAAGAATTAGGAAATCTCCAGAGAAGTTAAATATCACTATGAAATCTGTTTTCAAATACTGGTTCATTCATAATCCTGCACATTTGATCGGCTTAGCAATTTGTGGGTTACCGCTTGAGAGAATAATTCAAGATTTTGCAGCTCTCTATAAATTTATTCTGAAAACGTTTACTACTTAAAAGTAGTTAAATTAAAAATACTAAAAAATCTATCAGAATCAATAGTTCACTCACAAATACAATTTAGCAAAATACGTGCATGCATATGCATAAGTATATGATAGTTCAGTTAGTTATACAATGTTGCAAGTGACTCAATCCATATAGAAGATTTTAATACATCAATTGGTATCATTCTATCCACTGGTGAAATATACAAGTATACCTTTCTCTGTCTTTCAGACACCAAATGAAAACCATTGAATGAATACCAAAACTCTACATCAAGTATAGGATCCAAATCTAAATTAACAAACAACTCTGGAGATTTAGCTTCAATAATTAATTCATAAATATAATTTGTTTGAAAAGGTGCCATTTGCTGATATGCTGATAAATTATCTTTTCCTGTGAGAGACTGTATTGACTTTAAACGTAAACCACTGCCGGCATCCTTTGGAAAATCTTGGATTTTCTTTGGTGCATCTAAGAGAAGTAGACCGCCATCACTTTGCTTATACTTCTGGCCTACTTTCATGCCTACCTGTATAATTCTACCACTTTTCCCATTGAAACGACATAATTTGTTTAAATCTTTCAACGATTTGTTCAATACTGATATTGGACACTGACCATTTTTTACACTAGAAATATTCAAAATTTCACGATACGTTGGTTCAAATGACCAAATAGTATAACAGATGATTTCAAATTCATTAGGAATGTAGACAGTATTGTCATTAGTTTGTACATTCGGTATCCAGTCGGCTTCAATCACTGCATCATCTTTATTATGTATAGCTATTCGTCCCCATTTTGGTATATCATAAAATTCTCTTATAGCAGCATAATGTGATAGTTTCCATTGACCAGATGAATCTATAGTTGACCAACTTGGTGCTGACCAAATATCATTCAGCTGCCAATAGATTGTACCCATTGTAATTAATTTATCAGTGTTTAGTACTGTAGATGTAGATATTTTCAGTCGACATTTATTTCGCATATATAAGTTGATCTGAGCACGTAAACACATTAATTGATTCAACTGACTAATATATGCCCATCTAAAAATTAAGAAGAAGATGAATAATTACGATTATTGATTAGAAATGTGATAGGTAAAGTGAAAGCATCATAGTCAAAGTCAAGGTCTGTCCGAAGTTGACCCCTAAGAGCCAATCAGAGCTAGGGAACTCCATATTAGGTCATTCCAAATAAAATCATGCGTGTCTTTTTGAATTTGGCGATGGTAGATACTGTTAGGTAGAGTTATGGTTTTTAAGAATAAGGTTTAATATCTAGGGTTAGTGGTTAAGATTAGGGTCAAAGTTAGGACTAGGAGTTAAGATTTTGGTTAGAGTTAGGAGTAGGGTTAAAGAACAGTGTCAGAAATATCAATGGATCTCAAAGTACTATAGTCTACAGTCACCTGGATGAATGAATGCATCTATCACACATGGAGTGATTTCTGTATAAATTATCCTTTGGCTAACTGGGAGACATTCTCACTTTTTTTCTCATCTTGATTCGGATTAGTTGTTCAAGATCATTGTGATTTTAGCTATGATAGTTTAACTTCTCACCATGTGATACAGTTTAGAAGGCAACTGATTAACTCCTTTATCCTAATTTAGTTCAGTAATTGTTTCGGGGGGAAGATCCGTGAGGAAATTCAGAGAAATTGAGATTATGATAATGACGATGATGAATAGGATCGATAATTTGCAAGTTGATACCTTTAATAATGTTATTGATGTTGTCAATGGACGTGAACATTGAACGTTTGTTTATTGGAACTGGCAGGCATTGGTGGGCAACTCGAAGGCGCGAATGGTCCGATCGCTTGCAAGTTGAATGAAGACTTGAACAAATACGAATAAAAGTACTTTATAACTTCATTTGTACTTAACATTTGTTTGTAGACTTTGTATTTTGTCTCACTTTAATTGCCAAACAATATAATTTCGTTCAAGGAATACTGGTGTTCTGGCTTTAAAGTTGAAACGAATACATAGTATTTATCGGTTCAAATCGCCTGCGTCTTCATTACAATAGGAACTTAGGGCTAGGTTCCTTGACAGATGTGATTCCAGATTAGTTTCTTAGATCAAAGTCTAACACTTCTCAAATTATCTATCAACCTGTAAAAACTGACAATCTTAGCATAAGGTATCAGACACTTCTGTATGCATTATTTCGAATAATGGAGAAGTTCGTGAGTATTGCATCGATTTATGCCATCTACGTACGAAAAACATGTGATATAAAACGACTTTTGAAATATAGCATACTGAAGGAGGTGAAGATAGGTATGAATATGAAACAGACTGCTTGAAATTTGATAGTCCGAATTAAAGAACAACACCTTTATGAAGAAGTATTTAATCTATGAAGTTGTATGTACAACCAGTGAACTCTACGAATGTTTGGCATGCGATTCGCTCCCGCCAAATGTAAGATGATGTAGCTACAGGACTGGACTACACTGACTCCTAGTTTAGAAATAGGGAGTGATGTGGTAGAGCACGTTGATCGCTTCACTAACTTGGAAAGTACCATCAGCCCCAACGGGTTGATCTCAGACGAAATCTCAGCACGAATACAGAGGGCTAGTTTCGCATATGCCAGTTTACGCCATCTCTGGCGTAGACGTGATATCCGACTGGCTATCGACCAAAGGACGTGTGTACTATTCAGCAGTCCGCTCTCTCCTCCTTTGTGGCTGTGAGACCTGGCCATTGAGAGTGGAAGACATGAAAAGATTAGCTGTCTTTGATCATGCGTGCCTGCGCTCTATCTCCCGTGTGAAGTTGTACAATAAGGTGAGCAATATTGAGGTTAGGCGTCGAGTGCTAGGTAAAGAGGGGAAATCAGTCGACGAGACTGTGAAATTACATCGACTGAGATGGTTAGGACAGGTATTACGCATGCCTGCCTAGTCATCGCCTTCCTCGACGGGCAATGTTAGCTGACATTGGATGGATCAGGTTGAAAAAGAGCCACTGGTGGTGGTCAAACCAAAACATGGCTCCATCAGTCAATAAAATACACAACAGTTAGCTTAAGCCAGCCACGTAGGAAGGTGTAGACTTTTTGGTTGGGGTTCTCGGGACAGTAAAAATCGATGGTTGGAAACAGTTGGTAACATGGCTCAAAATTGTTCTCAGTGGGTGGCGCAGATGCATCCACTCCTTGTGACTTATGATTTCCAATGAAACTGTTTTGTTCTTCGTTATTAATATTCCTTTGTCTCACACTTATGTTTACTGTCTCTAATGTGCATTTCTCCCACTTTCTTCTCTTGATTTGTGTGCTACATGGAGTGTGGCGAATTGAACTGTGGCACATATGTGCAAAGTTCTATGTCGAAACAGACAGACAGACAAATACAAAATTCCGCGCAGAACTCAACTGAATAGTAGTCATAGGTGTATACTGTTCGACAAAACAATCGATGATAAACTGTTGAAACACATTTTCACACCTATTAGTTAGTTCCATAATTTACAATGCGAAATGCTTATTAAGTCAAATGGAAGTAGACAGGTATCTTGCTCACTTCAACTGTTATTGCAGTTACCAGTTTATTTACAACTACGGGAGCAAGTATATCTGAAGGACTCAGAGGAGAGCGCCCACTCACCTTTATAGGTATATCCTTTATATTCTTTTCCACAAAATCTGTCCTTATCTAGTCATTTTGAATCATGTCTGGTCATGGAAAAGGTGGTAAGGAATTGAGAAAAGAAGGAACCGAACACACCATCTTAAGGTTCTCCGTGACAAAAACCAAGGTATCACAAGGCCCGCCATCCTCTGTCTCACTCGTCGTATTATTATTATTTCCTTTAATTCTTAGAGGAACATAGGGCTTCAGCCACACGTCCCCATTGCGTTCGGTTCTCTGCCAACGTTTTCACCTGGCTACACGTCTGCCCCCATGCTTTCATCTGCTCTTCACATAACCTCCTCCAAGTCACCCTTGCACTGACGACCGATTCGCCACTCCCCAATTTGGGTTCAACTCGAGCAACGGCCTGGTGTGTTATGTCACTCACTTGATGGTCTGTTTTCTCAGAGTATAGCCAATCTACCCCCATTTACGCCTCCGTATTTGTTGCGAAATTGGTTCCTGCTGAGCTGGTTCGCTCCCAGAGAGCCCTCTCTGTTGCTGATCTTTTCTGGCCATCTGATCTTGAGTAGTCCTGGGCAAAGACAGCTGTTGATGAAGGTCTGTAGTTTGTTCGAAGTGCCCTTCATGACGAGCCAAGTCTCTGATCCGTATAGTAGCACTGATTTCACATTTAAGTTGAAAATCTGGATCTTATTTTTGGTGCTGAAGAGCGCTGTTGACCTCCAAGTAGACGTGAGAGTAGTGAAAGCTTGTCTTGCTTTTCCGATTCTTGCTTTGATATTCTCACCAGTTCCGTCAGTCTGTAGTTGAAACGATGCTTCCCGGGTAGGTAAAAGAGGTTGTTTCTTTCAGGTTCATCTCATTTATGTTGATTCTTGTCTGTTGTTGTTGGTGCTGTTGGTGTTGCCCAGGAATCTTCATCACCTCCGTTTTCTCAATGTCCACCTGAAGTCCTATCTTTGATGCTTCTTCTGCCAACTTGTTGCTTTTCGCCTGCATATCTTCCAGTTTGTGTAAAATCAGACATATATCATCGGCGAAGTCCAGATCCTCCAAGTTATTTTTGTGTGGGTCTATTTTATGCCTGTTTCCTCATTGCCCACTGTCTGTCGTATTATCCAATCTACTGCAATCAAGCCAGCCTTGTCTTACTCCCGTCTTCACTTCGAAGGATTCTGTAAGTTTCCCGTTGTGCATTACTTGGCATGCAGCATTTTCGTACAACTGTCGGATGAGATATATAATTGTCGGTGGCATCCCACTTGTCGTAGTGGTGCGAAACTAATTTCAGGTTTGATCTATGAAGAGACTCGTGTTCTTGAAGAACGGTATCTTTGACATACACAGAACGTCCGAAGTGGAAGACTATGACCGCTGTAGATGTTGTGTATCCACTGGAACACGAAGGTCGTACTTCGTACGGTTTCGACAGTTAATTTTCTCACTTTCGTCAGTGTGAGAGGTCACTTTGTGACCATTCAGCGGTCCGTACGAAAACGCATCAACATCCATTTTAGGACAACCTGGTATGTCAGTGGTGCAGCCATAGAATGTCCGCTAACTATACATGTGATCTGGGCCTCGATCCCTGGTCAGTGCACTCCTTAACCTCACTAAGCCTTTTAGAGAGGGAATGTTGGGCGTGAGTCTAGCAACCCCACTCCGTAAAAATAAAAATAATCGCTGCCACAGAAACTTGAAGTTTTACGTTTCACTCGCAACGCAAAGGAATAAAATGAAACGAAGAAGGGGATGGAAGTGTTTACAGGTGCAATAGCCAGGCACCTGGTAGACACATAACAGAAGTTGAGGTCAGCGAAACTTTTCAGATAACAAGTATTGGGTAGAAATGCCACGGCCATCAAACAGTTACAACCTAAGCTGAGTATACAAAAAGTATAGTGGGTTACAGACTTCCAACTAGCCTGTTGGCGGGATCCTTTATTTGTGTATTGCAATCTTTATCTGATTTATGATTGACACTCACTGAGGTTGACTCACTACTAAGCCTCCTAATATATTCGTTTGTTTGGTTACCTAATAATCTACTTTTGTCTAACACACCAACGGAATCCCCACTTATTTTAACTCCCACACCTCCTTCTCTTAGCTCTCAGACTTCCTATTATATGAATAAATTATGTTTCATAGATTACCTCAATATTATTATGTCATGTCAGCAGTAAAGCGGATGCCCATCGATGTCATTCGTTAGCAGTAGTGCGTCATGGCTCAGTTTCTCTGAGGTTAAGAATTTATGAGTCATCGAATTTCAATCCAATTACTAAATGATCAACGGAATAACCTCGTAACCTAAGAGTTCCCAGTTCCATCTCTGGTGAGTTCAAGGGTGCACACTAATGAAAAGCCCAGAACTTAAGAGAATCAGCTTTCCACTACGCCTTAGTTTTGATCATTTCTCTAACTCGAATTGATTTTTAATTAGATTTTCCAGCATTCCCACATAAACCAAATATCTGAAGGTTTCGCATTCATCTGAACCATTATATACATATATATATATATATATATATATATATATATGTCCAAACCAAGTTCACTTTTAACAGTTTGAAAGAATTTGGGCATTGGGTATGTGATATTCCTTATAATAAAGGTTTTCTTGTATTCGCCAATGAATGAAAAACAAAACGACATTGTTTTTACTGACGTTTCGCTATTTTATGCAACTAATACCCTTATCAAAGTATTATTAAACCAGAATTTGCAAAATCTCAGCTCACATATGTAACAACTTAATCATTGTTCCTCAGCATGGGGGCATTTTTGCGTTGTCAACTCGGCCAATTGGTGAAGATAACAAAGCCAGGTGTAGATTGTTGGATTTGATAATTGTGTAAAATTATAAATATAGAAGCAGCGTGTTTATATAATGAAATTGCTTATCACATTCATGTTGATTTTGCCACTTCCTGGGGGAGGGGGGTGTTGTAACCAGGTCAAATTCTGTTTTAGTCCATCATTCCTATTCGGCTCAGACAATTTGGATTCTACTTGATATGAAGTGCTTATGAAATTAGACTTTCTTTGTGATTTCTGAAATTTTTCTGGATTGTTTCGATATTGTTAAGGTCAATTTTGTGACTTGATTCTGTAGCGCGGAGACGACCTATTTTTTTTATTCCTTCACACTCCCAGTGGAACATAAGGCTTGAAGTTTCTGTAGCAGTGTTTATTTTTACAGGCTGGCGTTGCTAGCCTCATTCCCAACCTTTCCTCTTTACCAGCTTTATTTCTGGTTTAGCGAGGCAAAGGAATGCGTCGGCCGGGGATCGAACCCCGGACCATGTGCATGGTCGGCGAGCGTCCTAACCGCTGTGCCACCGACGCACATAGACGTCCTCTGACTGGTGATTTTTCAAGCTTTTGTATTTCAACTGGATTTCTTGGTGGTCGAACAGATGCGGCTCTACTGTGTTCATTTCTTCTGATTACCTTGATTTCTCGTGATATTTGTCTAATGTATATCACATCACATTCCAAGGATTTTATTTTATAGACACAATTAGATAGAGAATCTTTAGGGATTTGGTCTTTTATATGGACAAGGTTGCTTTGTAATGTGCGTGTCTGGTGTTTTGAAGAAAACTCTGATGTTGTGCTTATCGAGTACTCTTCTGGTATCGTCTGATGTTTCCACTCTATATGGAATGACAACTGTTGAGGTCAATGTTTTCGAAATACACTTTTGACCATACTTAACGTCAGTGTTGATTTTGTTGATGAAGTTCTAAGAAGACTTGAAACAACTGGTGCCTTTGTACTGATAGGGTGTGATGATCCGAATTCTAAATATTTATTGGAGTGGGTTTTCTTCCTGAATATGGATATACTAAAATGTCCTTTTTCCCTCCTCTTAACTAGGCAGTCTAGAAATGGTAGTTCACTGAGGTCTGATTCTACTTCCGAAGTAAACTGGATTCTGGGAGATAGATTGTTTATTTTCCCCATGAATGAACTGTTTAGATGTCGTTTTAACACTACACAAGTATCATCTGCATATCATAACCATATTTTAGGAGTGAGTATGCTTGAAAAGATGTTATTTTCGAATCTATTCATGAAAAGGTTGGCGACTATTGGGGAGACTGGTGAACCCATAGCAACACCATTTGTCTTTCTACATAAATTCCCTTCAAATGTAAAATAATTACTTCCTAGACAGAATTTCGAGCTCTTAATTATTTCACTGGTATCCAGTGGACATCTTTGTGATAGCGTTGTATCTGATTCTATTAGACTGGAAATTATATCAAGACTTTCGGTAATAGGGATGGATACTAGTATATAATAAGTTAATATCATAGCTTACCATAATGTCTTCTTTATCAATTTCTCTGTGTTGTATTTGGGATTTGAAATCATATAAGCATTAAATAGCGACACTTCGGTAAAAAAAGCATATCGTTTTGTTTTTCATTCATTTATTATAATGAATTTATATTTTTAGTATTTTTAATATATTTATGCGTCGAAGTTTCTGTAGCAATTTGGTTAAGTTTTGGGGGTGGAGTTGCTAGCACCACGTCCCAACCCTCTCTCTTTATCCCGGCTTGGAACCGGCTAGAAAACTAGCGAGTTAGTAATCTAGGCGAGGAGATAGATTGGACACTCGCTGAGGAGGCCGCTGGGTGACATCGCGCGTCAGACCAACGCTCGAGTAGAACCGGAAAGGGAAGCGGCGAGTGGGACGTCCAAGGTTGACATGGAGAAGATCGTGTGAAGAGGAGTTGAAACAGTATGGACTAACATGGATGCAAGTGAAAAGCACAGCAGAAGACAGAAGCAAGTGGAGACGTGTAGTTGAAGCCCTATGTTCCACTAGGAACCCAAGGGAATAATAATAATAATTATTATAATGAGTTAACTTACCGACTGTAATTACGAATTGGATCTTGTTTTTCAATTGGTGCATTAATATATTCCAGAGGTAATTGAAGCATTACACTACCTAGTGAATGATGTTGTCTATGATTCATGAGTGAGTCAAATATATTCCATTGTTTTGAGTCGGATATATTTGTTATTGATCTAGCCCAAGCCAGTGCACTAGGCATTGATTGTAATCCAAATTCAGAGATGAAACGTGACACTTTAAAGTTAGATTCTGACCATAAGTTACCAAAATATATGTAAAAGTGTATATCACCAAAAAGTGGATTCTAAAAGAAAGAAATGAACAAGGGTGGAGGGGAGAATGTACTGCACACTATACAAAAGGTGATTTAAATACCTAAGTGGCATAGTGAAGACGTCAGTAACGCTCTAATTGATGAATAATGGGTTCCAGTTTTGGTTGAAACACGTTAAGCAGGGATAGGACTCAATGCCTAGCAGTGGGATCGCTGCTCGAACACTTACGTCTCCCCAACAAAAGATTAAGTCGTCTACAAACGATTTAGTATCCTTACACTCATACCATAACCTTCGCGAGCATAGTTCCATACTTGTACTGAAAATACGGTGTGGAATCAAGCTGTAATCAAAATAAAAATAATAAATAAAAATAAATAGTTCAACATCTTTCGGGTCTCAACATGTACGCTCTTGCTCCACCACGTCATTGGACGGGCCGATGATGGGCCTGCTGCTGGCAGCTTGGAATTTATGAGAAAAACAACAGAATCTCATCTTAGTCTGGACAAACCAAACCTTTACCTTCACTACGCCTTTGGGTTTCGTAAAGCCCAATGACTCACGCACATGTTAAACTCCTTGGTCGGTGATGAGACACAAATCGGAATAAAGGAATAAAAGGCTGGATTCTACTATTAGTCATCATTAAAACAGATAAAATTATGAAGTAACCCAAGGAATATCGTCAAGTAGGAAAAAATTGGGCGAAGATTGGTTAAACAAGATAGGCTGATGACACGTTCATTATATGCGGTGAGAAATGCGATTTGGATGATATCCTGAAAGTATTCAATGACAGTCATCGTGATATTCGGTTCACCTTAGAAAAAGAAACTGAAAGAGAAATATCTCTCGTTGATGTCCTACTCAGAAGGAGAGCTGGTGGGTTTTTGGAAGGATCTATCTACATAGAATCGACACAGACAGGAAACTGACCAAATTTTACAGTTTCGTCCCCACTGACAGAAAAAGGAATCTAATCCATTCTCTCAACACGGGTCTGGACAATTTGTAGAGAAGACAGTGTTGATGATGAACTCGAACAAGTGAAAGAAACCTTCATAAAGAAGGAGTATTCACTAGGCTTCGTAGAGGCCAATAGCACATTACATGGAAGAAATACAGAGAATAAAAAGGTAGGTAAAAATGCGTTGCACTTAAACTTAGAGTTTAGGAGTGACACTGCGAGTGACGTGCTTAAAAATCGTCTGATGAGATCATTTAGAAAAACTTTCTTTACTGCCTCTTTACGAATAACCTACTCTAGCCGTCCACCGGTTCACCTTAATGTCACGGAAATGTTATCTCAATGGTCTAATTCCATGTGTATTTATATGTTCACCTGCTGTTGCGGAGCTAGGTACATAGGACTTTCGTCGAGGAACATATCCCGCCGCATTCGAGAGCACCTCCGAGTTTGTCTGAGCAAAGAAGAACATAGAGGTATTAATTTATCGATACTACAACATACTGTAGATCCTGACCACTAAACAGTATCTGACACATCCTTTAATATAGTTTAAAAAGTTCGAAAAAGTTTGCCGAAAGGGAGAGCACGAGTGCACTTGCTTTGGCAATACATAACATAGAGTCAGAACTTTGTTTACGAAAACAGTTTGTGAGATCTCATTCCTGACCATGGTCTTGATTTTACTACCTAATTCACATTACGACTTTGTCATCCATCTTCATTCCAATTTCCATTTTTGTTTTATTTTATTTCACTTTATGTTATCATATTCTAACATTTTATCTAGTCTACTACTTTGACAACATTTCACTCATCTTATGTCGTCTCCATCATATTATATTCACATATTCACATTTCCGAATGTACTTTATTTTCCGATCATCTATTTCACACTTGTCATCTATTGAACTTTAGCTTGACCTCTATTTATTTATCTAGTTATTCATTCATATATTTAATCATTTATGACTTGCTACAGGACAGAGTTAGTTGCCTGAAGTTCTAGTGTGAAGTCGTGATCACTGGGGTCCATCCAGTCGGGAGTGGGGATGAAGTTCCCGCCGATGACACTGGCTGGTACCAGTCACGCTGAAATCACGAATAGGTAGAAGTTAGAATTCATGGACTGGCTATAGAATCAGGTCCCATCGGCTGAATGGTTTACGAGCTTTCCGTGTAAGTGGAAGGTCCTGGGTTCAAATCCCGGCTGTAGGTGGGTGCGTACTGCCGATGACTCCCAAACTAGAATGAGCCAGAAGAGTTATAATCTTACCACTGTAAACCATCTTTTGTTATTGTTGGACTCATGGAAGTTTAATAAACTGCTACATGAACCAACGCAGTGACTGGTATTGACTTCCTCCCGTTACACTTGTTTCCTGCACACAGACTAAAATACTTAGGTTTCGGGGGTTACTCCTCTCATGGATAAACTTATTCGGATAAATCAAACAAGTTGAAATATCAAAGTTTTGGATCATTTTGAATTAAATGCAACCAGTCATTAATAAGGAGGAGAACAGAAGACTAAATAACACATAGAAATGTTTGAATTATTTCTATCCCGACAGTAGTCATTACCGTATTACGGCAACACCAGAGAAATCCTGCCGAAAGGAGGTTTAATCCATGGGGTGAATACCAAATTGGATGTGGTGACAATTACTTACTAAGTGTATCTATCAGAATCAATATATTCGCTCAATATCACTCAAGACCAGATGGCCGGCCAGTAAACATCAGCAACAGGGATCTCTGGCAGTGAGCGAACCAACCCAGCAGGAACCGACTGTGAAACAAATAGGCAGGAAGAAATGGAGATGCATTGGCCATACTCTGAGGAAACCATCAAGTGAGTGACATCACTAGACAAGCCATTGCTCGAGTGGAACCCGAAAGGAAAGCGGCGAGTTGGTCGTCAGTGCAAGGGTGACTTGGAGGAGGTCATGTGAAGAGGAGATGAGAACGTGTGGGCAGACATGGAGCCAGGTGAAGACTCTAGCAGAGAACCGAACGCAATGGAGACGCACGGCTGAAGCCCTATGTTCCTCTAAGAATTAAAGGATACAATAATAATAATAAATAATATAAACACTTCTGACTTAGCTGAGATATACAGTCAGTCTGTCAGTCACTCACCGTGTTCATTTCATTTTAGAGAAGCTTCCGAATTTAGTGAATACATTCGTATGTGAAAGAGAATTGGATATTGATGTCTAGGAGAATGAGATGTAAGACCGCTTATTCCGCTTAACGCCCAATTGATGGATAGAGCATTTGCGTTTACTGAATATTGAAGTTACAAGCTATCGAATTCTAACCAGGCACCTGAATAGTTCTACAACTGTGATAATTCATGGAATTATGGCTTTAGAACCTTGAATTAAGCTCAAACAAACAGCAGCGGAATCTCTGACTCGTTGACCTTCTTTTACAATGGTTTTATTTTCAAATATTAATTCTTCAAAAGAAATCACTTGCATAAGATCATGATAGATATACAAAGGAAGTTAGATAATACTTTTAGGAAACATTGATTACGCGATCACACTACTACTACTACTACTACTACTACTAATACTACTTACATCTGGATCCGGATCTAATCCTTTGAACTGCTCTGTCATATATCCATTTCCCGGTGAAGAGATTAAACATACTCTTGGCTTGTATTTTGATTTAGATCTATGACTAGTCGCCTCTTCTTTATTAATAACAGTGAATATTGAATCTATAAATCTTGATTTGTATATACTCAGTAAATTTGGGTCCATGGGGCGTTGATACCAACCATTAGCGATAGCTTGTTTCACTTCGTTATCTGTTGACCAAACAACAATGGATGGATGATAATGTAATCGTGATATTTGCCGTTTTATCTCCAAATCGACTGTATCAGTACTGTTGAATATCGGATAAAGAAAGAGGATGAATGTTTAGCTAGTTTTCACATCAAAAAATATAGAAATTTATTAGGATTTTAGTCATCAAAAAGTTATAAATAAAGTAGTATCTTCAGATTTTTGAGTTTTTTTTTGGGAATTCTAATCAAAACCGATTTATATTTTGTCATTAATATCCGTTAAAACACCTTTGAAAATCAAGGGCCAATGTTCAGTTAGAACTTTCAAGTAGCGTGCACCCAAGACCCTAAAAGGTAAGCTCCCTGGTTATTCAACCAATAGGGTTGAGATCCAGTGACCTGTAAATATGCTAACTTCTGTCATTTTTCAGTATTGCCAAAATATCAATTAGAGAACCATTGAAAACCAGGGAGTACTGGTACCACTGGCAAAATTGTTTACAAGTTTTCCTTGTTGGTGGAAGGTTGCGCGTTGCGTATTGCCGAGGGGTTGCGAACTGGGACGAAACCACTGGCTAGTGCTCCATTCCGGTTTCAATGGTTCTCTAACTGATATCAATCCGTGATCAAATTTCAAATAAATCAAATCCCCATAAAACCTGCAATCCGGGTTGCTTTGCCAGTTTCATACATGCTACGGATGTTCCATGTCTCCACATAGACTTTTTCTTTTGTCGCAAGGAGATTCATCGCACTGAAGTTTCTGTGGCAACTTTGTTTACAGGGTGGGGTTGCTGGCCTCACGCCTGAGAAAGGGGTTGTTACGTGAACGTATAGTTTACAGAGGAGCGACCTTTTGGGTTGCTCCCCTTATCGTCAGGACAATACCAGCGAAAGAAAAAAAATTCACAACAGGAAGGGAGGCGACAACAAAAAGCCCGTAGCAGTAGTATCACTATCAAATACAGTAAACAAAAATGATATCGAAACCATAGACTCGTTGACTTGGGTCAACTTGGGTATGTAAATCCAATAATATATACAATTTTAGATATTAGTTAGTGTTAAACAGTCACAAAGTGCCAAACAGTTAGTTATAGGTGTTATCAGTCAACAAGATTATATCCATAGATTCTGTGTTTGAAGGTAAACTAATTACAATAAATTCTACGACTTCCTGGCCAGAAACACCAGGGAAATGAGATTTTTATGTAACTAAGTAAACGTAACATACTTTTTCTCCTTCATGTTCCCCAGTGGAACAAAGGGCTTCAAGGTAGTGGCTTGAAGTTTCTGTAGCAATATTTATTTTACAGGATGGGGTTGCTAGCCTCATGCCCAACCTTTCCTCTTCACCAGCATTATTTCTGGCTTAGAGAAGTAAAGGAGTGCGTCAGTGGCCTGGGGTCGAACCCCAGACCATGTGCATGGTTGGCGAGCGTCCTAACCGCTATGCCACCGACGCACGTAGCGCACTAACTGACTAACAAACTCCTTAAAATTATCCTGATGCTCACTAGTGACTGGCTAAAAGACGAAATTGCCTAGCGTTTTAATGAGAAGTCGGGACCAGTGAGGTCCAGCCGGTCGGCAGCGGGGACAAATACTCACCGATAACAGTGGCTGGTGGATGTGCTAAAATCAAAAATAGGTGGGAACTGGGATTCCTGAGTTGGCCATTGAGTCGGATCCCAGTGGCTGAGTGGTTTATTAGCTTTCCTTGTAACCATGAAGGTCGTGGGTTCGAACTCCTGTGGATGGGTGCATTTTTCCAGTAAATCCCAAATTGGTGGAGGGGCATCTGTTCAGTACTTCCTGGTTTTAGTGGTTCTTTAGCTGATATCGATCCGTGGTAGTACTGGAAACGAATAATTTATTACTGTTTCTTGGCTTTTACTCGCCTTTTATTCACATCAAGCCATTAGGAGAACCATTTCAGGGTGAATCACTTTTGTACAGATTTCTTGAAGTAAGAACGTAGTAATGATCAGTAAATATGATCAGTTCATAAACTGAAATATTGCTTGTTTTAGATAATGGTCAATGGTGGCAAGATTTAGGACAAGCATTTCGTCCTATTTGGGACTCGTCAGACAGGTGTAATTACAACCCTATTGAGAGATGGTATTCTCAATGAGACTCAAAATCTTCAATCATCGTCTCAAACTCTGAAGTATTATCCACCTGATCACAAGAGTCCCCTCGTATCGTTAATTCATCTTTCCTGCTGATTGACTATGTTGGGCTGAGATACTCGGAATGTATGTTGGCTGGCATATCGCCTCCTAGTACGGATGTTTCGATGGCGTTTGAAGATCTACATGATGTTATTTCGGTCGATGGTGACTAGTAAAATGAAAATCCTAGATTCCGCTGCCATTCATCATCATCATCCGAAATAACATCATGTACATCTTCAAACATCACCGTTGCGTCCGTATTAGACGCCAACGTGTCGACAGAAACGAAGCATTTCAGTCTAAAATAAGCAGTCTGTAAGAATTGCAAATAAACTTAAACAAATAAAGTACTGTTCATTCAGTCCTCTGTGTGTATATGCGTGTATGCATGTGTGCATGTGCGTGTGCGTTTATAGTTTCTGTGGGTTCAAACTCTACCTTTCTTTATCCGGATAGGTAGACACAGCGAACATCATATCGTGCCAAATCATTAGGCCGAGTTTATCAGCTTCATTGTAAAATTCATCATTTTCATAACGTCCACCGCCCCATATTCTGATCAAATTAATTCCTGACAGCGCAGCTGATCGTAAAAGGCGTTTTTCTAACCAGAAAATATCGCCACTTGTATTCCTCGTCAGGGTATCTTGTCTACCGGGCATATATCTTGCAGGTATCCAGTTGGCGCCTTTAATAAATACTGGTAGATTATTAATTTTGAAATAGAATGTTCTACCGAATCCAGTATCAGATGGTTCGACATATTCCTAGAATGAAAGAAACAATAAAAACGGTTAGGATTTATGAGTGTTATTGTTTATTTAAACATGTGGATGTTTTGCAACAAGTACCTTATTTCACAATGTATTTCGGGGATTCTGAAACTTCCATGTACTATAATCACCAGTTTGATACATTTCACTAGACAATTTAATGCAATGCTTAAACACAGAGTCGTTATTGCATTATTTATACTTAACAGTGGAGACTTGATTATCTTGTTTTCAAAACACCTGGAGTGATTTAACAGAGTAACTGAATACAGGAGTTGGTTTGTCTTTAATACATACATTAAATATTCCCATAGTAAAATTTAGAACAACACATTTAAGCGAACAGTATTGTTTTCATTGATTGATTAAAAATGCCCATTAAAATTTTCAAAAGAATAGACACGGAACAAAGAGTACTCTTTTCGATAAATTCATCATCAGGTTCTACAATTATATATACATTATAATGAATGAATGAATTAGTCTTATGAACGACATTAATGTTATTTAAATAAAATCGAATCAATAATATTGATAGATTACGGCTGAATAGCATCAACATAAAAATACACGTTGAATATCAGAAAAATTAGGGAAGATAATAATGCAAATGTATGAATTTATAGTCTATACTGAAGGCCGGCCAAGGCAGTAGTAGAGGCTGGACTTGTTTCTTTTGAACACAGAGCACTGGTTGTTTGGGGCGAATTGCAATAGCCTCTGCTGTTTGGAGTATGCGGTGCTTCGATGATTTTGGTAGTTCGTTAGGCACCCTGTATATTATAGAGAAGGATTCTTCTACGCTGGCTTTGTGACCGGCTTGCACCAGATGGTCTAATATCGAAATGTTAATGGTTTTCACTACACCTTTACTTAGCCATACTGGGATATGTTCTCGAGCACGAAAAATCAAGTTCCTAGAGCAACGGCCAACATAACTCGCTCCACAAGCGCAGTTGAATTGATAAATACAATTTGAAGTGGCCAGTCTAGGTACTTCATCTTTCAGTCGAGGTAGCACCATCGGTCTTGTAGAGAATAAGATGTGTAGTTCGCCAGCATTAAAAGTCCTTTGAACTGCTTTTCTTAATTTCTTTGTAATTAACTCACTTGGTTTATCGCCCTTGAATTGTAGTCGTATATAAAGGGGTTTCTTCTTTACAGATAGTGGGTCGTCCTTTTCGGCCTTCTTCGTCATATGTTTCTTGATAAACTTGTCAGGATAACCATTTTCAATTAAAGTATCATATACAATGTCTAATTCATCTTTAATTACTTCCTCAGAGCATATAGCTCTAACTCTGAGGCTAAGGGTCTTCACCAAATTCCTTTTGTATTTGATGGGAACGAAGCTTTGAAAGTGTGTATATTGTCCCGTCCAAGTACTTTTTCTATGTAAATTTCTTGTTTTCAATTAGATCTCATCAGGCTTAACTCTAATATATATAACTTTACAAATAAAAATTAAAATATAAACCAATCATAGTGTTTTGTCTATAGGATAATTTTATTTATTTTTATTTTATTTTGATTTACAGCTTGATTCCACACCGTATTTTCAGTACAAGTGTGGAATTTTCAGCATGAATATCGGTAGCCCAAATTCAGGCCGACCATAGATATCAGGTGTGCGCCGGCAGAGGATCGAACCCCGGACCATGTGCATGGTCGGCGAGAGTCCTAACCACTGTGCCACCGACGCACGATGGTGAATATAAATTCTGTAATTAGTCATAATACTAGTAATGATAATAATAATAATAAAAATGGTCTTGTCAGTAATAAAGATGAAAAAGTGAGGTAATCTGTGATAACACGGCTAATGAAAAACAGAATGATTAAACAAACAACTGTTCAGGTAGAAGTAGTCGATAAATGCTGGTAAAAACAAATGAACTGATTAAGTGATGTTAGATTGTAAGGAAAGTAAATGAAACACGTTTGTAATGAAGATGTGATAAGATTAAGCGATGATAAGAGAGGGGTTGGGATTATAAGAAAGGGGTGATGTAGACGTCATTAGTTGGTTAGGTCCTAATTGACCAACAAGGCTGCATGAACTTCTTTTGAAAGCAAAGTTTAGGTCTAATAGCGCAAAATCGCTATCGCCTCAACTGTGTGCAGTAGACGAATAAGAATTCCATTGGAAAGATTCGGTGGGATACGATGAATTACCTTGAAAGCTTTCATGAGCACTATCAACTAAATGTGACAAAATTGAGCTATGGATTGTTTTTGTCTGTCCTTTGCCGAACTATGACTGCAAATGTTCAGTATTGACAAGTTGACTAAGCTGTCTAGTAGTACGCCCAATATAACTGTCACCGCAGGTGCAGTTGAATTGATAAATGCACACAGATGTGGCAAAACTATCTAGCTTATCCTTCGTTTGCGTCCCAATCATTCGTCGACTAGAGAATGACAAACATAGGTATGCTGCGTAAAACGTTCTTCGTATACTCCTGGAAAGTCTCTGGAATAAAATCTCACTTGATAAGTCACCATTAAATTGTAACTTAATAAATAGAGGTTTTTCACGTGCAGTAATAGTCTCGGGTTTTCTCTCTGATGTTTCTTTATGAAACTACTCTGTCAAGGAATCAAAAATATATTCAAATTCCTGTTGTAAGTGATCATCGGTACATATCTTTCTTGTTCTGCCTGTAAGACATTTAACAACATTTCTTTTATATTTAATGGGCACGTAACTAAGGAAGTGTGTATATTGCCCTGAGAATGTGCTTTCTCTATACACGCTTCTCCTAAGTGACCCATCTTCTTGCCTACTTAGGATTTAAACAAATATTATTTTCAAGAATTAGTTTGTAGGGATTCTATTTTTTTTCAGGTTAATCTAATAGTCGCTATTGATTGGCTACAGGACGAAGTGAATTGCCTAATGTTCCGTCGAGAAGTCATGACCAGTGGGAGCCATTCAGTTGGGAGTGAGGATGGAGTTCCCACCGATAACATTGGTTGGTGCTAGTCACGAATTGGTAGGAGTTGGAATTCATGGGATCGGGTCCCAGTGGCTGAATGGCTTAGGACCTTACTTGAAACCGGAATGTCCTGGGTTCGAACCCCGGCTGTGGATGGGTGTGTACTGACGATGAGTCCCAAACTAGGCGGATGAAACAGCTATCCACTGTTCTAGTGCTGGTTTTCAACGGTTCTCTAACTGATACCAATCCATGGTCTAACTTGAAGCATTATTTTGTTTGATATAACAATTTAAAAATAAATATCACTCGACAGACATAAACCAGCACGAGTGGATAGAAGAATAATAACAACAGGTCTTGAGTCGTATCATCACTGAACTTGGAGCTCTTTCTTTCTACACTGAGCAGCAATCAGTGTGAAACATATCCACACGCTTTACTGCATAGCTAACCTGAACTTCTTTGAGTTATACGCAGTCACAAAGTGCTTCATTAACAGCAGGAAGACAGTTATTTACCATGAAGTTTGTGATACTATTCAGCAGTAATAACATACCAAAAACTCAAGAATTCCATCAGGCAGTTCTACAGATCAGATAGGTTTCTAGTACAAAACAAGTACTTAGAACCAAGTAGAAAATTCAAATATTGGTTTGTAGGGGTTTGGTTGATTGGTTACAGGATTTCACCATGAACTGACACTGGTTAGAGAACCATTGGAAAACCCGGGAGTACTGGACAGCTGTTTCGTCCTAGTTCGGGACTGGGGTTCCAGTGGGAAGTCGTGACCAGTAGGGTGCAGCAGGGCGGGTGTCAGGACAAATACTTGCCGAAGACATTGGCTAGCGGACGTTCTATGTCATGAATTGGCAGAAGTTAGAATTCATAGGCCATTGGACTGGGTCCCAGTGGCTTAATGGTATACGAGCTAGCTCGCCTTGTAACCAGAAGGTCCTGGGTTCGAACCCCGGTGGGTGCATACTGATGAACAGCTCCAAACTAGACGGACGAAACAGCTGTCCAGTACTCCCAGTTGGTTTTCCAGTGGTTCTCTAATCAATGTCAGTTCATGATGAAATCCTGTAACCAAGTAGAAAATTTTCACCAACATGGGATCAAAACTCTATCCACAAGAATCGGGAATCAAACAATTCCCAAAGACAGTCCAAGGTCAGGATAACCTTGACTCACTCAAAAACAAAATCATATCGTAAAACAACATATTATGAATATCATCATACAATCACAATGAGAAGCATTGCAATTACAGATTAAACAAGGACAGTGAGATATAATAAGGATCAAATCAGCATATGACATGTATATGTCAAAACAATCATATACAGTCTAGAAGGGAAATGATCAGTAATTACAAAGTTAGTTGAAACATCCACATAATTATCAATATTGTGGTTTGGTCGTTCAGCTGGGGGATTTTCCAAAGAATTCTTCCTTTATACTCATTACTAAATGTATCAACAACTACGTGATTATTACGTTACGCAACCTAGTCATCGATCTGTCTCATCAAAATCAAACTATTACTACTTTATATTCAGGTTAGACTAGAATAACAGTTTCCAAACTTCAGTAGGTATTTAAGTGACATCAGTTAAACTATGGGTACTGGGTTCGAGGCTCAGTAGGAAGACCATCATTCACTCACTGACTCAATGGAGAATGCAAGTATATCCAGCTGGTGGACAAGTGCCGAATTGGACAGCCAAATTTCGCATCCTGGATTCCATTGTTAGCTGTCGCCCGCTAAATTATTATTATTATTTAGTGCGTTGGTGACACAGCGGTTAAGACGCTCGCTAACCATGCACATCATCCGAGGTTCCATCCCCGGCCTACTGACGCACTCCTTTACCTCGCTAAGCCAGAAATACAGCTGATAAAGAGGAAAGGTTGGGTATGAGGTTAGCAACCCCATCCTGTAAAAATAATCACCACTGCTACCAAAACTTCAAGCCTCTAGCTTGAAGGCCTATGTTCCACTGGGAACGTGAAGGAATTAATAATAATAATAATAACACACCACATTACTTG